CCCCTCTCTCTCAGTGCAGTGTTAATGTACTGGAGTGTCCAGTCAGTGTGTCTGTATTAACCCCTCTCTCTCTCAGTGCAGTGATAGTCTATCTAAAAGAGGCGCCTCCTCTCCTGACTGGAGGATGACAAGCAATCATTTCTAGCCAGATACCAGGGTATCAGTTTCAACCACATGGCAAACCGCAATATGTTCCACACCCTCACCAGCCTCGGTGTAAAGCACCTCCCTGCCCTTCCTATTTCTGTTAAACTGCCGAGAGCTTTCCGTTCCGTTAGGTGAACCGCTGAAGAGGAAGAAAGCCCGACAGCCGGGGCCCGCCCGAGACCTCGCCCAGCGAGCGGCAGAGCTGCAGAGGCCAGGCTCCCCCGCGAGGGGCAGGAGAGGAAGGGGGTCACCGGAGAGAGTGAGCGCGGCGCCCCAGCATGCTCATACGTGTAAACGGAGTTGGGGCGATCCAGGGCCACAGAGGCCCTGCAGGCCGGAGTGACTGACCCTCTTTAGTCTGGAGCAGAAGAGACTTGTGTGTGCGTGTGTGTGCGTGTGCATACTTGTGTGTGCGGAAGTGTGTGATTTAGCATGACTAGTGTGCATGTGTGCCTGTGTCTGTATGTGTGTGTGTTTACATGTATGAGCCTGTGTGCATGAGTGCGTGTGTGTACACGTAGAGCATGCGTGCACGAGTGTGTGTGTGCATGTGTGTGTGTGTTTAAGCGTATGAGCCTGTGTGCACGACCGTGTGTGTTTACACATATCAGCATGTGTGCACGAGTATGTGTGTGCATGTGTGCCTCTGTGTGTGTGTGCATGTGTGCCTCTGTGTGTATGTGTGTGTGCCTGTGTGTGTGTGCATGTGTGCACACGTATGAGCATGTGTGTGCATGTGTGCATGTGTGTACACGTAGAGCATGCGTGCACGAGTGTGTGTGTGTGCGTTTGTGTATACGTATGAGCATGTGTGCACAAGTGTGTATGTGTGTGCATGTGTGCGGTGTGTGAGTGAGTGTGTGTGGATGTCTTTTTGTACGTGTGTGTGTTTGTGAGTGTGTGGATGTGTGTGTGTACGTGTGTGTGTTTGTGAGTGTGTGGATGTGGATGTGTGTGTGTGAGGGGGGTGGATAAGTTCTCCCAGCCCTGCTGACAGAGCCCCGAGGGGTCAGGGTTGGGGAGTGGGGGTGTCTACAGGGGTCAGGGGTGTCTTCAGCTGCCCTGTGCCAGTCAGGGGTCAGGCATGTGCCACCCTGTGCCAGTCAGGGGTCGGGGGTGTC